AGAGAGAGAGAGAGAGAGAGAGAGAGAGAGAGAGAGAGAGAGAGAGAGAGAGAGAGAGAGAGAGAGAGAGAGAGAGAGAGAGAGAGAGAGAGAGAGAGAGAAAGAGAGAAAGAGAGAAAGAGAGAAAGAGAGAAAGAGAGAAAGAGAGAAAGAGAGAAAGAGAAAGAGAAAGAGAAAGAGAAAGAGAAAGAGAAAGAGAAAGAGAAAGAGAAAGAGAAAGAGAAAGAGAAAGAGAAAGAGAAAGAGAGAAAGAGAAAGAGAAAAAAACAAAAACAAAAAAAACAAAGAAAGAAAGAGAGAGAGAGAAACACGAGAGGAAAGATGGAGAGTCCGTATTCAGAACCCCCACTGAATACACACCTGAGCCACAGACAGCTTGGATTGTACCATGTTAAGGCCAAGAGAAAAGGCAATGATTCCTTTGTGGAAGATTACTACCAAGAACAGGGCCACAACATCGTCTATTGTGTCCTGAAGACCAACTGCCATGCCCTCAAATATCTGAAATAGACAAAAAGCAATATTAATAATAATAAAAAAGAAGAAGAAGAAGAAGAAGAAGAAGAAGAAGAAAAAGTGTTGAGTCTATTAGGGTAGAACACCAATTAGTTATTGCACAAACACACATCTGTCTCTAAATCTATATTTCAATATCTATCTATCTATCCATAATATGCACATTCATATGAACAAATACACACATGTATGTTTTACTCATATACTGATATAAGTGTGAAAAGGCACAAATCTTAAATTACGGTTAACAATTCATGAGAATATGATTTTCTTTTTCTAGATTACATAGCATTAGTTGCAAACCATGATAAACAAATATATATCTAAGAGTAAGATAATCTCTGGTTATCTATCTTTTAAACAGAAATGAAGTATTAGAACTATATGTATTTTTTCTACATTTGTTTGAAAGACTAGCAATCAACATAAGCAAAAGACTTACGGAGTGGAGGGACAAAGCGAACAAAAGAAGCAGAGAACGCAGAGAAGAGTGTGAGGCAATGTCTTGGTGAATGGAGTGGTCAAATAGGTGACTATGACCATGGCCATCTTGGGGGTCGCAACTATCTGCTGCTGTCCCATACCCACGCACTGATCCGGTCAGGGAACCCGTTTCACTCCTAAAGAGAAATACAAATGAAGTTTAATGGTAAAAAGGCATGAAGATTTTTTTCTCTTTAAATGTTTAGTATTTTTGGAAATTTCCATTTTCCATAAAAATCATCTTTTTCATAATTTGATGAAATTACAAACAAAGATTTCAAGGTTAAATGTATTAACTGACTGCTTATGTAACTGATTTCATGTACTTGATCCCTAGTTAAATCACTCATATACCGACTCACTCACTAATTTAATAAATTACTCACCGGATTGATGCTGTAAGGTCAGGCTGGTCTGTGATGCCACTTAGGCTGTGCTGCTGCTGCAAGTTTCGTCTCCGTTCGTTGGGTTCCCCAAGCAAGGCCTCGGCTTCAGCTGGCCTGTTGAAAAACATATAATAAGAAAATATCAGAAGTCTGTCACTGAATCATAAGGAAATGGGTGTTGTAGAAGAAGTATGGTTATGAAGAACAAAACTGTGAAGCTTTTTTGATCCTCCAGCTTCCAAGAAGGGAAGGAGACTCATAACTGTTTTTGTTTCTTGAACAGAAAATATTTTGGAATGATTTGTTATATCCATGATTATCTTACAGTTTAAGATAATGTTTACTAATTTTGAATGATACACAAAGTATGTCACTTTGCATATCTGAATGTTTAGTGAATGGGGAAAGAAATCCATAAGGTGATTTATATGGAAAATTACAATGTTTGGGGTTCAAACAAGATGTTTTTCAAATTTTTTTAAAGCTCATTTATTCTTTTGAAGAACTTGAATACTAGCTTTTTTGCAAATCAAAAAAGGTGACAAGAAAATTGTGCTATGCATATAGATTTAATATCTTTTTAGTGAGTCCTGCCTTGAGGTAAAAAACATTTAGGCCTAAATAATTTCATAATGCTAGTCATACAAATGGATGCTATTGTGTTCTATTCTAGTCCCTATCCCCTTTAAAAAATGCTTTTCCATCCATGAATATATGAACATGAAAAGACATCAATAAATGCAAACACAAACAAGCAAAAGATCTAATAGCACAACAAAGCACATCCACAAGACTCATTACTCTAACCTTCTGAGTAAACTTGTTTCCTTGTAATCTAAAACAATCTGCTCCATCGTTAACACCAGCAGGAATCCAAAGAGGACAATGAACTCTGCTACTGGGAATGAACTTGTCACTGAGCTTTGGTCCAGTAAAACTTCAATTTGCTGCTGTACATCGGGGAACAGGTCCATGATGCAGGTGCCCATGAACACTCCGCCAGCTGAACACGACATGAGACTGAGCCAGGTCTGGTACCTTAAAAACAAGCAAATAAATAGATAGATCAATAAATAAACAAATCAATAAATAAATCAATGAAAAAGAAAATGAAATAATCTAAAACACAAAAGAAATGCAGATATGTTTGTTTCTATTGGTACTTCTTATTCTAAATAATACATTTATCTTGAAACACATAATGATATACATACAGAATATGATAAGTTCTTAAAAATTATAAATTATTGATCTCTCTCTCTCTCTTACTAACTACCTCTTCACACATCTCTCATTCCCCAGCCCCTCTCACTCATTTTCAAAGACTTACTTCGACCGCTGTCCAGAGTCGTGTGTGTGTTGGATACGCTTGACAAAAATAACAGGAATCATGGAACACACGAAGGTCATCACGAACATCACCACTAGGATGATGCCCTTTATTGTCATAATATTCCACATCTTGGACCAACTACATCAGCCTACGGAAAGAGAGATAAAACATTAAAGATGGGCAATAAATATTGAGTACTTACAGTTGTAATATGGGTAAACTGCAAGTGAAGAGACAGAGGAATAAAGGAATAATAATAATAATAATAATAATAATAATAATAATAATAATAATAATAATAATAATAATGAGGAGGAGAAGAAGAAGAAAAGAAAAAAAAGAGAGAGAGAGAAAGAAATAGAAAATAATTCCTATTCAGTCCTCGAAACAAAGGCCACAATATATATATATGATAATGAGATATTTACTGCTTACTAATATATCATTCACAAAGTAAAAGAAGTCCACAAACCCTTTCAAATATAATAACTATGGTCTGTAAGTCAGCTGCTTTCAACAAGCTAACTAACTGTACTGTTTGAAATGACTTCTACCACACACTGCATTGTCACACTCAGCATGTTTACACTATGACTACAAATTTATTATCTGCTGATAAGCTAAACATGTGTGTATAACATGTCTGTACATCTGTTATCTGTTTAATTAGCTGGGTGAAAGTTTGGATAAACCATTGTGTGTCTTATCTATGAATCATATTTTAAAATGTACCTTCAGTGATGTCTAGTCTGGAGCAAAAACTTCCACCAGGACAATGAACTCTAGGTTAAATAATCTCTTGTTGCAAAAAAACAGTGAATGACAAATGACACAAATACAAACAACTTTATCATAATATTACCTAATAATGTAGTGATTAGCATCATTTACATTGGCTAAGATTGAAACACAATGTTGAATTTACATAATCTCAAAATGCCAGTCTTGATTAAAGAAAGACAAGAATGATAACTCAATATCTAAATATCTATCAACGTTGAGTATTCTATCTTACTCTAAGTTATTCATGCCTTCTGAAAAATAACTCAGCCAGTCAATAAAACATAACTACATATCAGTACTGCGTACCCAGAGTATCAAGGCTGCAACTAAGCATACATGTTTCTAAACTAATACAGAAACCAAAAGAAGTCGAATGATATTAGCTTGCCAACCTCATAAAAGTATGGAAAAATCAATCTTCATAAAGCATCTTTTACATAAACTCCCCCCCTAAATATAAAACTATTTCTAAATAGCAAAAATGTTAGAAGTTGAATAAATGTGTTTAATGTTATGCTTCACTTACTTGAAACACATATATATATACACACATTGTATAGTGTATTTGGAAAGTATATCTAATTAACAGTCATACTACAGTAACTTACATGGAAACCTTGTATGCATGTGCTATTCAGGACATTTAAAAGTACGAAATATTGGCAAATTAGCCTATATTATGTTGCCAGCATCTAAAGAAGTTACATCACCTATAGTAATTTTTATGCTAAATATCAACCCTGAAATGAACTGCAAGAAGTAGGGAGATGCCCCTCCTGAGCATGCAAAATACTGAACTGTAAATATATCAATATTTGTATATGTGAATCATATCAATGTTATGTTTTTTGGTTGTTATTTGGTATTATTTGAAGACTATGTTCTTTGGTTAAGGTGAGTTATGATACATTTCACAATTGAAGCAAGTGAAAACTTGTACTGAAACATTATTCAACAAGACAGATGTGCAGTATCATGCAACTGCCACACCCTCTAATCTCTGGTAAAGACCAACAAACCAGCCCCATGTGTAATCTGGTAAAATGGTCCAGGACTGATTTTCATATGATGATAAATTGTTAAGATCTGCATGTTCTACAATGATAAAATCTCTCTCTCTCTCTCTCTCTCTCTCTCCTCTCTCTCTCTCTCTCTCTCTCTC